CCGTCTGTTCCCTGAAGGCTTTGGGGTTAGAACCTCCAGTCTAGAGTAAAAGCCACCACGCACATGTGATTCAAAGCTCAAGAACTATGAATGAAACACAAATTCTAAACAGACGTATTAGCTCATCATAATTTTAAATTACTCAATTAATTTTACCAAATATATATATATATATAAGCTTATTTTCTAATAAAGTATGATTAGAAAATAAGGTTGGTTTGCCTATATAAACAATAAATGAGTGCTACTGTCACACACAACATGAGTATATCTCACAAGCATAAGATGAACAAAAGAAGCTTGACACAAAAGGACCTCATACTTTAAGATTTCATTGATATGAAGTGCAAGAACAGGCAAAACCCTCTAGGATCAGAATGGTGGTTACCTCTGGGTGGAGGTGGTGATTGACTGGGAAGAGATGTGAGAAATATCTTGATCCAGGAAGAGGTGGTTTCATGGGAATTATATATAAATTCATCAAGCTATGCACTTAAGATTGATTACTTTTACTGTATATATATTAAAACTCAATAAAAATTTTTGACTAAGTGTCATTTTAAAACCATGCTACGAATATGTACTATGTACATCAATTGGAGGTGGCACAAGAAGGCATCAGTAAGGAGTCTCCACATGGCCACCACCACCACCAACTTGAAAATAGGTTAGTCTCAGAGGATTAAATTCCAATTCTGTGCCTAAAAGATGGGAGAACAGACAAGCAAAGTCACTTTAGAGAGGCCCAGAGGACACGAATCTGATGGAATGTATTGGCATGGAAAAAGGAAGAAGGCACCCATAAGAATGGTGGTGCTGGAGCCGGGTGGGTCGAGGGGCGAGGGGTCTGCTGAAGTTTAGAAAAGGGAGTCATCATGGCTAAAGAAAGCTGACTGCGATTTTGGGCCTCCTGTGTCATTTTCTTACAAGAGGAGACTGCTAATCCACAGATGCAAGAGTCCAGTTCCCTGGGGAGTTTTGTGTCTTCTTGTAAATTAATCAATTAGCATCTTGTTTACATAAATTGGGCTCTTGTAAGTAAAGTTAGCACAAGTCAGCTTCTCTGCGTGGGAATACCTCTGAAACGCTGGCAAGGCTGGGTGGCTGGATCTGCACAACTGGGGGTCAGACTCGGACTCTGGCAACTTCCCCAAAGTCTGGCCTTGCAGGAAAACCTCTTTGTGGCCAAATGGGGAGTCTTTGGGGTGGCCTCAGCCTGCACCATCATGGCCCCTGGGCCCTGCCCGGGCAGTGGCAGCACTTCTGCCCTGCAATGGGGACATGGAACATGTGCGAGCATGCGGTGTGAGTGACTGGGACTCTCATGGCAAACAGCACATGAGTTGAAGGCTCTGTGAGGAAGCACTGACAGCTCTGGTCACTTCCCATCGGGCAGGAACCCCTAAATATTGATTTATTTGAAAACCTCAACTATAATTCTCCTAAAATTCTCCGGATCAAAAACACGTTGTCCTTTCCTAACAAAATAGAATCATTTGAATGGGATTATTACAACAATGCACCAATTTCAAAGTTCTTATAAGCCACAAAATGAGGGGAATTTGTGTTTAGATATCTTTCAAAGCAATTAATTTTTAATTAAAAATTGAAATTGGAGGAAAAGCTCAGCTCTAACGGAAGGGCTCTATATCCATGCTCTGGGTAGTTTACTACAGTGACCAAGTTGATACAGTTTTTATATTTGCTAACTAGTATCACCTTATTCAAAAATTATTTTGCCAATGGATCTTCAACTGAATCACGCTTGTAGTTACTCAGGAATTTTCTGGCATATGTCCTTTTAACTAGTTGATGATAAAAAATGATGATAATAATAGGAGTGATTTTTCACTAAACTGTAACCATGCCCTCCTAAAGTATCGCATGTCTGCATGGCACCAAAGGCCAATGAACCCTCACCCTTCTACAGAATCCAGCAGGGGGAGTTTGAGGCCAGGGGAGCCTGGTCGTTCTGGGAATGAATGGGAAGCACCCTTGTATGGTCAGTGGTCAAGCTGCTGCCTTCCTAAGGATGGTTTTTCCACCTGGTGAAGCCTCTTTCAGAACCATGGTCCCCTTTAGAGCAGTGGCGGATCATAGCAGATGTAACAGCTCTAAGTAGAAGCTCTTTGACAATAGAGGGAAACAGGCTGTGACTCAATGATGCTGCTCAGAGTGGGTGACAGGTGTGTAGAAAGGCTGAGGGCCACAAGCAGTGCTCCCAATGGAGCAGGTTGCTGTGGGGATCTGCGGTAGGGTGGGCCCACATGCTGTACCTGTTCCCATTAGCAGCTCTGGGATCCACGAGCCTGGACACTGTGTGGACTTGACAAATTCTACTCATTGTGCAAGTGCTTTGGTCAAGCTCTAAGTGTACCCTGCCTCCTTCTCCTCAGAGGACCTTTGCAGAGGCTGTTCCCTCTGCACAGAGCCCTCTTACACACTCTCTTGCTCTACTTCACTTTCTCCCTTTCTAGAGAAGTCTCCCCAATCAGGTCACATTCACCATCTTACTCTCCCTCCTGAAACCACAAACTCCATTACAGCATTTATCCCAGGTAGACTTTTTATTCGTCTGGGTGATTCTTTGATGACATCTTTCTTTAGCACTACACTGTAAGCTACAAGAGGGAAGTGCCTGCACAAGAAAAGACTTCTTCTTCTCCTTCTTCTCCTTCTTCTTCTCCTTCTTCTTCTCCTTCTTCTCCTTCTTCTCCTCCTTCTCCTTCTCCTTCTCCTTCTTCTTGGCTCACCATTCTATCCCCATGACTAGTACAGTCCCTGGCTAAGTGTGTCTTAAATGAATAAATAACTGAATAAATTTCTTCTCATTTTGTTGAGTCTAGACAACCAAATTCCTCTGGTTCAAACTTTCCTCCTTCTCCTAATTCATTCATCTACCTATTCTCTAAACCGGGCAACCACAGCGCTCAAATGCACATCTCATGTCTCCCATCCCTGTTGGCTGCACCAGAAGGGGCCTGTTGGTTTTCCAGGAGTTCATGTCCTAACTATGCTGCCGCTGTCAGCTGCCATTCTTTGCACTGGGTGAGGCCTCTATAATCCTATACCTCACTGGCCTCTCAGAAGACAGGGACTTGAACTTCCATGCAGATGTGTGGTTTGCCCAGGCCTTCTTTTTTCTCATTACCAGATGGCCCACTGGACACGCCAGGGGCCATTGTATTACTAATGGTCTAGCAGAGCTTCAGGCCTTGGGTTTGCCATTTACCATGGGTTTGGTCTTAGGAAAGTTGTGTAACTTCTTTGCATGTAAGCTTCCTCGTGTGCAAGATAAGGATAATAGCATTTGCTTCACAGAGTTGTAAAATTAAATAAGATAATGCATAAGAAGTACTTAGCCTGGTGTTGGGCACATAGGAAAAAATGGTGGTTCTATCTCAGTACATGTGAGGATCTGCAAAGACTATGAAACTGACACCTGTCACACTGGACCTCACACCCTGGCAGGTATCACGATCACGAAGTTGGTCCACCCTTGCCTGTAGGCTGTCAATTACTCCACAAGCCAGGTATCTGATTGGGTACAGCTGAGCCTGGAGTCCCTTCCTGTTAAAGGGCCCTGAGCAACATATATCATACTCTTCTTATCCAGATGAAATTGCACTTAGAGCACCAAAGGTAGCCTGAAAGAACACAAATCTGAAAGGCGCAACCAAAGGCAGTGTTTCTCTAGCTGTACAGGAACAGTATTAGAGGTGGAGGTGGTGATAACCGCAACAATAAAGTCATAATAATAATTATTATACTTAACTGCAATTGACCACGTTTTATTGCTGAATTGTCACAGCAGCCCTGACCAAGTAGTTATTATTGCCCTCACTTACAGAAAAATGACCCAAAAAAGTTACCCAAGATCAGACTAGTGAGCAGAACCAGTATAGAAACCTAGCTATCTGCATATTCCATCCTCCGGGTGGCACAACACTGCCATCTCCTTTATCTTAAATGTGTGTGGGAATGAGAAAGCTAACGTTATGTGTGGCTTTAAATTTTTGAGCCCCAGTCCATGGAACTAACCCATCTACTTTCCTTCAATCTCTTCCTAAACAGGTCCCCTGAGCCACTGGTGGCTGGGTGAGGCCTCCATAATCCTATACCTCACTGGCCTCTTAGTGATCTGGACTTGAACTTCCGTGCAGACGTGTGGTTTGCCTAGGCCTTCTTTTCTCTCATTACCCTAGGAAATCCACTGGTATTTAAAAAGGCTGTGTGCATGGTGCAGGACAGGCTAGCAGTAACTCTCTTCATCCTGATTTCCCACCCTCTTGCTGGGTACCTCAGTGTCCTCTTGTTCTAAAAGTCATTAGGTATGTTTAAAATCCGAATGCAATGTATATCTGAACAAAGATGCTTATTTGCTCCTACCAGTTACTTTTCATTTTTATGTGTCAGAAAGCGTTTTTTGCATAAACAGGTGTTATTTCCATGTATTTAAGCTCAGGTTCTTTGGATATCATGATTTTAGCTACCTGCAAAGCTTACCAGGGTTAGAACTCCATTCTACCACCTCTGACAACCACTCTTTGCCGATAGAGAAACTTGCTTCAGGACAAGATCTAGCTTGGAGCAGGTGGTAGCAGAGGACAGAGATTACTGGATCACTGTAAAGATCCCAGGCCCTACGTTTTACAATGTTCAGAGATTATTATGTCCACAGTGTTATTATTTTTGGCACTAGGAAACATGAGGACCAGTGATGAAATATTTGGGGAAGAGATTTCAGTCAACTGTCACTATCTTCGGCATCCACCCAAGAGTGATCTAACCTTTGCAAAGCCTTCACTGATTTGGGAACCTCAAATGCTTTTTCATTGTTAGGTTGCACCGTTAATTCTCTGTTGCATTACCTTTCCTGTTTAAAAAAATAAATTAAAACAATCTAAAAAGCCAGATAATGTTTAATGGAAAAGGGCAGCGATGGGCTAATGGTTGCCTAGCAACCAGTAGACATTGTTTTGCTGCTTCACTCTAGAGAAGCCAAAATGGCGGCTGTAATCCTTCTCCGGCCCCCTGGACAGTGTACGTGTGAGTGACAGTTCCCTCTGGGCCCATATCATTTTCTTGTCTTGGGCAGCAGATCATTCCTTTTTCAGCTTCCAAATGGGGAAAACTCTCTGCCTGATTCTTGAGTATGCTAATGCCTACACTTTCATCTTCTCAGAAAATCTATGGCTGAACTTTTCAGGTTCTTCCTTTGGGCAGTACTGCTTAAGTGTTTTCATACCATTCTCCATTTCCTGCTTTGAGCTGCCCTTCCTGTCAATCAATTACCAACTCTGCTTCTGTGTTTTTTTGAGGTCAAGCTAAGGTACTTGATATGGTTTTGGAAAACCCCCTCCTTTCTGCTTCCAGAAGGGTTTTTTTGTTTGTATTTTTGTTTTTTGGTTTTTTTGAGACAGGGTCAGGCTGGACTGCAGCAGTGCAATCATGGCTCACTGCAGCCTCGACCTCTTGGGCTTAGGTAATCCTCCCACCTTAGCCTCCCGAGTAGCTGGGGACTACAGGGGTGTACCACCACATATGGCTAATTTTTTATTTTTTGTAGCAATGGAGTCCTGCTATGTTGCTCAGGCTAGTCTTGAACTCCTAGGCTCAAGCAACTCTCCCTCCTCGGCCTCCCAAAGTGCTAGGATTACAGGAGTCAGTGACCACACTTGGCCCAGAAAGGTCTTGAGTGCTCATTCCCTAAGGCCAAGGGAAGGTTGACAATTATTGGACAACTGGGTTTTCTCACAACTAGAGAATGGAAGAGAAGAGAAATATGGTTACAAAAAGTACATGTGGAATCTTCAGAATTACAAGTATGATCAATAAGACCAAATGAACCTATTTTTACTAACAATTTTTCCATTAGCTTGTTTTGAAAACCACAATTCTGCTATAAATAGGAATCTAAAATACTAGAATTGCTTTAATCCTTTGCTACCCCTAAATCACAAGTAGATTGGAAGTGGGTCTTGTGTGGCCTTGATTAGAGGAACAAAGTAGCAACTGTGTTTGAGGACGGTCCATGACAGCTTGCTGATTTTGGGGAGATGAGTGGGATATGATTTCTTGGCCATCTCAATGGGCTGGACACCCTGGAATGGAAGTGTGTAAGCAGGGTCCTCTAGAGGGAGAAGTTCAGGTGGTCTCTGAACCATGGAAATCGTGTGCAAAATGCAGTGCTTATGTTCACATGTCCATCTTTCTAGAGAGAGGGTCTATAGCCCCCAGCAGCTGAAAAACCAGTGGCAGAGAGGGAGGTGAGGAAATGAAGAACTTTGGGAAAAATTTGGCTTTCAAAAAAATATACTGAGGATGATTTAATGCAGAAATATCTTGAAAGAAAAGATGAAAGGACTTATTACTTCTTTCATTCACTCAAGCCAATTAAATCAACAAATATTTACTGAACACCTACCATGTATGAGTCACTGAGAAATACCCTAGGAATACAGTCATGAAAATTGAATGGGCCATTAAATCATGGTGTTGTAGCCGTGAGCACTGATTAACATTGGCTGAACACATATTGTGTGCTAGGACTATTATGCACATTAATAAAATCATCAAAAACAACCACATAAACTTCAAAGCATTATATATCATATTAAATCTCAAAGAATACATGCACTGAGAGCTGTCTGACTCCGAAGCCAGTCCTTTAGCCACCCACCTACAGGAGCTTAGCCCTGGGGAATTCTTTGGGCAGAATCCAGGGACATACTGAGTTGGGGTTTGGTGGTTCCAAGGAAAGCATCTTCCACCTGAAAGGAAGTACAGTACTGCGGCCTTACTTCCCTAAAGACCCAGGGAGGGGAGAGAAAGTGTTCTCTGCTTGTATCCTAAGCACAAAAGCAATAGAGCAACACCAGTAATGGTAACTGAGTGCTTACTGCATGCCAGGTCTGTGCTAAGCTCTCTCCATGCACTATCTTAATGTTCACAACCTCACAAAGTAAGCATTATTAGCAATAGCACTTTACAAATAGAAATTTGAGGCACAGAGTTGCCATAGCTGGTGAGCATCCATAGGCTACATTCAAACCCAAGTTTTATTCCAAAGTCTGTGCTTTCCTGCTACTGTATGCCTTTTGTGTCATCTTTGCATATTTAACCCCCTTGACTCAAATGGGAACTCTTTGAAGGCTAGGGCCATGAGTTACATTTTTGTTTCTTCCAGAAAATTGGCACGTAATGTGGAATAATAATGACAGTAGTACTAACAAACACACACTTTCACAGAACTGTCAAGAACTATGAAGGGTCTGAGATTTCACCCTACTTGCAAGTTAACAAGTCAGTTGGCCAGTTTTACAAATGCTGGTAGAAGACACTAGACTTTCGGTTCAGACATTTACTCACAACAGAAATAGCTATCAGCATTTCTGCATTGATTCCTAAAGCATGACAGTAAGAGGGCCAAAAGACACCTGTACACTGCAGGGCTTTCATTCAAGAACAGGAACTCTGAGTTAGGAAACTGAATCTTTTGTAATGGGAGTAAGCATGTCTGTTCTTTGCTCTTGAGTGAGACACTATCTCAATCTTCCAAGGATGTTATATACAAACATCCTTGCAAAGATAGTTGGGAACAAAAGCGTACTTAGTGCCTTGCTTCCAAGACACGTAGAAATACAAGAATCGTCCAGAGAATTGTCTCCCAACAAGTATATTGTTTGCTATGTGTGAGAATCTATTCTAAGCACTTTCATATTCATTAGTCCCTTTAATCCTCTCATCTCTATCAGCTAGCTACTATTATTATCTCCATTTCTCAGAAGGAGAACCCAAGGTACAGAGAGATTAAGTAGCTTGCCGGAGGTTACACAGCCTTTAAGTAGCAGAGCTGGGATTCAAATCTGGCTTGCTTCATAGTCCAGGGGTGTAGCAGTTTCACTATTCTAACATTTGCTGGTGTCAGCAACACACCTGCCTCCGCCCTGTCTTTTTCTCCATAGTTTATCACCATATGGGAGTCCAGTGGTTCTCACACTTCAATGTCTCATCAGAAGACACAAGGTCTTGCTACCACAGTTAATTCATGTTTGGCCTGGTGCCCGAGCACTTGCATCTCTACATTTCCTAGGTGATGTTGTGTGACATTGCAGAGTCTGCTTATTACGTCTTTCCCTCTAGAATATGAGCTCTATGAAGATCCAGCTGCTTTGTTCAGCGTGGCATCCTCAGTGCCTGCTGTAGTGCCAGACACATCACAAGCCTTCGATGCACATTTATTGAAAGAATGAGAAAAGGAAATGCAGGAAGAGGGATCCATTTCTTCCAGACTCTGTTATCTGACCTTAACCTTGGAAAATCCTCTAGTGCCATCCTGGCAGTTGAAGGCCCTTGAGCAGCCCTCACTGCCACAGGCTACAGAGGTAAAGGAAGCGGGACACCAAATCTTGAAAAAGGCAGTTTGCTCCTGACAGAGCTGCATGAGTTACAAGGTTTTTAACTGCAAGAATTGTTGGAGCCACTTCTGGTAATATATAATTTCATAAAAATGCTTTCCAAGGTGCACAGAAACATCTGAGGACTTTAATTAAGCCTCCACCATCGGGAATGGAACTTTTATGTACATGGACTTTGGATTTTCTTTTTCTCTTTTTGAGCACTGCTGGCAAGGAAGCAAGTACCAAGCGAGGATTCCAATTGAGTTCTTTGACACGGAACCTTTCCTTTCGTTTTTTGGAAAATGGAAGTAATGTACTAGTATAGGCATTGTTTGGGAATACGAGCATTTATGTTAATGGCATTAGACTCAGTGTTTATACCACATGGCACCTCCCTCCCTATGGTTTGTGATAAGACATGTGCAAGTTGCACTGGCTTGCTTTCCTCTTTCCCATCCCAGACTCCCCAAGTTAGAAGCGAGCGTTGTTCCGAGACAATGAGTCTTCTTTGTATGCACTAATTACAGAGGAGCTTTTTAAAATGTGGAATCCCAGGCCCTGCCCCCAGAGAGGGACCCTGGAGTTTACATTTTTAACAAGTGATTCTGCTTGCAGGTGGGCATGGATCACACTTCAAGAACCACCGGAATGGGGTGGGGAAGAGGAAAAGGCCTGGCCTGGGTTCTAACATCAGCCCTTTTATGCTAGATGAATGGCTGTAGAGTTCGCTTAAACTTCCCAGCACCTTGATTTCCTCATCTATAAAACAAGTATAATGTGTCTTTGGCTTTCTTAGAGGAACAGTGCAAGAGCACTCTATGGAAAGAGTAATGAAAGAATTGTAGGTTTTCAATCTGCTAGACATTTATATGTATGTAGAACCAAGATGTCCCTCTAAGGCAAGGGGCATATTTAACAATGAATCCTCAAAATGTTTTTTAATAATTTACAGAACAATAACAGTAGTTATAAGGCTTATATTCTCAGTCATGACTGTTTATTAGTTTAACTGGAAGGACCAGGTATGTATCCTCCACCCCTTCCATCCATCTCTCCTTTAATTCCATGTAAAATGCTGGCCTGCACTGCAGTGCAGGCACTGACTGACTGACAGACTGATAGAGGGTTTAAAAGCCAGCTCCAGCCGGGCGCGGTGGCTCACACCTGTAATCCCAGCACTTTGGGAGGCTGAGGTGGGCAGATCACAAGGTCAAGAGACCGAGACCATCCTGCCCAACATGGTGAAACCCTGTCTCTACTAAAAATACAAAAATTAGCTGGGCGTGGTGGCACACACCTGTAGTCCCAGCTATTTGGGAGGCTGAGGCAGGAGAATTGCTTGAACCTGGGAAGCAGGGGTTGCAGTGAGCTGATATCACGCCACTGCACTCCAGCCTGGCAACAGAGCGAGATTCCGTCTCAAAAAGAAAAAACCAACTCCTTTGCCACAAGCAGAGTTCACAGAGCCCTCTCCCCCCAGCACAAGGCCAAGGCTTTACCCCTTTCAGGTATTCCTGCTCCTCATCGGCTTTGCTCCCTCCCTTACAAATGTTTCCTGAAGTGCATACTTTTACAAATCACCTCCACATGAGATCTGAGGCACTGTTTCTAGGAATCCAACCTAAGATTGCAATTGCACCATCTATTGCAATTCTGGTCTGGATGTCTGATTTGGCCAAGATCACCGGTGCCATCTGACACAAACTCCAACAGCCACCTCTCCACCATTATCTTGCCTGACAGCTCAGCGGCATTTGTTCCTGTTGACATGCCACCTTTTAAGACCTCTTTCCTCAACCTGTCTCTGCAACCTCTCTCCCTTCTGACCTCCAGATTGCTACATACAAGTGTCCATTTGACATTTCCATGGCATTCCACAGGTACCATGACACAAGTATAAATATGACCTTACTAAATACTAAATGTCTAACTCAGTATTACTGAACTACTAATATAACATTACTCTTTAAAAGCCTGCTCTCTGACTTCCTTCTTCATCCCACATCACCATCCATAGACACCCAACTCTTCCCTGCACAAGTCTAATCTCCCCAGCATCTCTCAAAGTTGCGTGTGAGTTGGTTCTGGCCAGCTCTTTTCAACGCCATCTCTTTCTGCTGCTCCGCTTCCCTGCTCTCATTCTCTCCCCGGCCCCTGCTAAAGTCCTTGCTGTACTTCAAATGTGTTACGCCGTTCCTTCTACCTAGGACATACTCGCTTCTATTTGCCTACCTGGTAAAGTCCCAACAGCCCTTTATGATATACTCAGCACCACCTTTGCCTCACTGACTGAGCACGCAGTGCTCTTTCAGCAGGTATCACACTGTGACACCACACCCACTACATGGTAATGAGCGGCTACTTTGACTCAGCTGTCAACACACCCAAGTAATCACAAATAGTAGTTTGTGCTACTCAGCATCAGCAAAATGTAAAGTTACTACTTCATCATATGTGATTGAGGCAATGTGGTAGATACTGCGAGCTATTTACTAAAATTTCTTTCCTCCCAGTCTACATTTTCCAGCCTCCCTTGTGGTTAGTGTGATGAAGGAAGTCTGAGCCAGTGTAAAGAGAGAACTAATGTGTTCCACTTCCAGGCCAAGCCCGTAACTTCCCACCAGTGCTCTTCCATGCTCTTTTCCCTTCCAGCTGACTGGCATGGAGGGGACACCCAGGTTTACTAGGAAAAGAAGGCAGTGAGTCGCTGTCAGCCTGGGTCTCTGAATGACAGCCCGGAGCAGAGCCCCTGCTGATAGCAAGCAACATCCTCCTTTGTCTCATATACAAGAAATAAACTTGCACTGTGCTTGAGTCATTATATTTTGGGGGGCATATTTGTAGTAGTAGCAAGCATTACCCTAACACGGGCAGGTACCGTGGCCCACCCAAGCTAAAATAAAGGACACATTAATGCAGTCTAAGAAAATTTTAAGCTTAAAATCACTGAGTAATGTGCAGAACAAATATTTGCACTAATTCCTGAGTCAAACCCCACCAATGCTCCTCATCTCCAGGGGAGACAAGGCATCAATCCCACCCACTCTGATGTCAGCATGTATGGATTAGTCACTAAGCTGGTGAGACACTATAGCTGACTGCCTAGCTAGGAAATTCAGCAACCTGTAGAGTAAGCATATACTCAGGTAACTAAAATTTTTAAGTTTACATTACTTCTTATATGTAGATTAGGTCTTTGTATTCAGCAAAGAAAAACTCACTGATTTTCTAATAGTCCACCTGAAAATCGAGTTGTTCAAAACATGGCTTACATATATTTCCTATTAGATTGTGCTTATTCATCTTTTCACCTGCAAGTGTTAGTTTATCTGACATATAGTAGGCGTTCAGTAAACGTTCCTTGGGCATTATGTAGGGAGCAATTCAAAGAAATGCAAAGCTTCATTGTTTCACTATTCCTTGTGACATTCATAATTACTTCTGGTATCACCCATCTTACAAATGAAAACACTTTTTATTGTGGGCAGTCATAATTGTATGCTATCCATCAAACAATAAAACCTTTATAGCTGAGACACATTCGCCTGAAGATGAAGTGATATATTAACTTCTTGATCACATGCCAGAACTTACAGATGAATATGAAACAGACATCAATAATTACAGCTTATACTGTAGCTGTTGGTTTCTAAGGCTTTAAGTTCAATGAACAAGTAAAAACTGGACAGACACACCCTTCAGAAATTAGAGGTGGAAAAAGATTACCTCATTTCATACCTGTCACATAGCAGGCCCCCTGCAGCTATTCAGCAAGAGGCAGCCCAGGGCCCAGGAGGGGGTGTGGGCTGGAGCTGCCAGGACGGTGCCAGTGGGCAGGCACGGGGGAAACCTGGCAGGGGAGCACTTAGGAGCTGAGGTTTCTCTTGGGCATTACTCTCCCTTCCCCTTTCATTCCCTTGTATTCTGTTTCCTTGAGAAACCTGGTCCGGATATAAAAGCACATACTTAAATTCAATTTCTTAAAAATGTCATCTCACCTGGAAAACAAACTTTACTTGACTCTAAAAATGAGTTACTACTACTACTAATAAAAAGATAATTATTCGTCAGCTAATTCTTGATTTTACATGCACATCTAAAAACATAGCATTCTGCATGGCATTTAATAAACTGTCTCCCAGAAGCCTATAGCTGTGTTCCAGGGATGGAGATCGTGAAAGCCAATGTGGCAGGAAGCTACTCTGAAGCATCGCTGTATTTGAAGAAATTCCGGAAAGGGAACAGACACCTCCAGAATACTCACAGTGGAGTAGGAGGAGATACCAAAGACACAACACACCTCACTTTTACATTAGAGCAAAATGGTTCGATGCCTTTCCAAGTTTCCTCGTGGCAATCTCCACTGGCCACATGCTGTCATGTCCTTTACTGAAGGCAGGAATCCCTTTCCAGGAAGTCTGTGCTGATTACGGTAGTAACACCAGAAAATGTGTGTAGGTATTTTTTTCTTTTAAGGCAAGCAGTGTGGAGGGAGGATGAAATAATAAAGATTAAAGAATGCAGTTCTGCACATTTTATCAAAATCTATAGAGCGCCCCAACCTCAAAAATGAAAAATGGACCTTATTGTCTCAGTATCCTACAAAGGCCAAGAATATATATTGATAAACTTATTCTAACACATATTCTACTTTCTAGCATAAAGTCACCCACTAATTTAAATTTGAAAACCTAGATACTCTGATTACGTCATAATAAAAATCACTTGAGATGCACTGCCGTGGGTTTACACAGCCTTCGACTTTTCAAAGTATTTTTCGACCCGTCACCATGCTAGAAGGCACTGATGTCACAAATACCAATCAACATTTGGTTCTGGAAAAAGATTTTCATGTACATATTTTGTCCAAATATTACTATTTGTTTCATGAAAGTCAGAGCTAAGACTTTAGTAGACTGTAAATTTTAAGCCAATGAATAAACAGTTGGCAGGAAAAAATATTAAACTGACATGCAAAGCATTTGTTGCTCTGCCAGATACTAAAAATAAAAGCAACTTCTGCCAAAATGGAAAACTTGGATTCAGTTGGTTCTGGATTAGACTAGGTTTCACTAACTTCAAAATGAGATCTGACATAACATCAGCTTGCCTCCTCAAACTTTATCATCTCTTAAAAAATAATGTACAGTTCTCATTTTGCTTAAACAACAACCTCATACCATGTTTTATATTTAGCAAGATCACATTTCTTAAAAAGTAATGTCTTACCAAAAATTTGGACGTTTTATAAATTATATCTTCATTTTTTGAGAATTAAATTCAAACTTGTCTTATTAAAGTTATTAATAAGCTAATAGTTAAAAGATAATATTTTAGACAAAAGGTATAAAGAAAATCAGAAGATTTTAACGTGAGTTCTAAGTTGTGACTTAAAAGTTCAGATAACATTTTATTCCTATCCTTAGCCTGCTGCTCCCTTATCTGTCAGCCTAAAAAAATAAAGTGTGTTTAAAATATGGAGTTTGAGATTTATGATCAGTTGCAGAAACCTGTTTACGTACTGATTTACAGTCTTGGCTGAGGTATTTAACTCTGTCATCAGAACTAATTATAGCAAACCTAAGATTATATATTCAATCTCTCCTTTCGGTGAAAGACACAGAATGTTCTGCTGAAAATCAGAAACATCCTGAGGGCTCCCAAACAAGAATGCACTGCCAACTTTACTTCTCAGAACCAGTGCTGTAAAGCTCAAAATTACTATTCTTTAGTAAGTTGTTTTAGCCTAAAGTACTTAAAGAGTAAATCATAGTTCCATTAATTCCATACCCAATGGCCTGAAACATATTAATCTCAGTGAACAATAACTGACGTTTACATTACTGATCTAACTCAGGCATTCTGGTAGTAGTAAATGCACATATTGAAGTTTTAGGAACCAAAGTTATTACTGATCCAAAAAGAATCCTTATTTTGCTATGACTAGAATGGAATGGACAAATGACTACATCCTTTGAGCAGCATGTGTACTCAAGGAATAATGTTCCTATGAGCAAAATGCGTAATTGCTATTAGAAAGGATAAAACTGCTCTCAAATGACATGTCAGCAGGGCCAACCCAAGACAACCTCTCCCCACAAATCTTCCCTCCAACCCCTTCTTCTGCTATACATAATATTTTAGAGCTTTCCACAACCCATGCCCCGAAAAGGGTGAGGACTTGGGAGACGTGGCTTCCTTTATTAAATGAGCCCCCGCTACACTTAATTCTGCTGCAATGCCTGCCTTCCGCTTAGCTAAAATGTTCCCATCTACATGAGAACCCCAAGGGGGCGCTGAGGGGGCAACTGCAGGCATTGGAGCAGGCTGAAGAAGGGCTTCCTTGGCTAGACAGGATTCCAAGTCAGACCCTACAGGAGGCCACTCTGGCAAGGCCTCAATGTGGGAAGTGCAACATGCCTGCAGGGGTCACTGGTCACTAAATGCTCTAAGGAGTAGAAACAGAAAAAAAAAAAAAAAAAAAAGAGACAGAAGTCAAAGGGCAATGCCCATATTGGGGCCCCAAGTGTGAGAATATCTATACCACTCGCCTGCTCAAAAATAACATTTTTAGGATTTCAGACAAAACCACTGGACTGTATAGTGAATATTTCCCCCATAATGGATTTTTAGAGGAAAGGTTTCTATACTAAAAGTCTGTATTTACCTAATTTAGCAGTTTGAAATGAATATTGTAGGTAAGTTTTACATGATCGTATCTATAAAATGGAACAAGGGATACTAAATCATAAAATAAGACTTTCCTTAAATCATAAAATAAGACTTTCCAACATTTGGTCTGGATACTGAATTAGTATGACACATAATCTTCTAAAACTTTGCTTTCTCTATGCTGGCTTTCTTCAACTAAGTGAAAAAGCAAGGTACGATTTTTGGATGCTTAAATAGTAGCTAGGTTCTATTATTCCAGAACATAGAACAAAAGCCATTAAATGTGCCACCATAAATAAAATTTTGTTACTATTTTAAGTCTAAAAATAACAATAATATAATTATAATCATGATTCATTTTATATGTTTCTGAATTTATATTATCAACCCAGAGAAGGTTTATATCAGACAGGTAGGAAACCTCTGACAATGACAAAAGAGGTGAACTGATGAAAACTATGCTGAGTGGTTCTTTACCTCTGCTGGGCACTGAGCAGGCAGGCGCCAACACACCTGGTCTTGTTCACCTGCTTGTTTTATGATTTCCCTGAGCCCCTTTTCTGTTAGAACCAGGAAATGTACCTCTAATGAAAATGATTTCCCATGTTATCAATCCTCTCTTTCGGCTCATTAAGTCATTCAATCTTTTAAGGAAGAATGGGGAATGGGAGGAAAACCAAACAAATCAGTTCTTAGAAGGTTCAAAGTTATATTATCTTGAGTTATAATTGTCCGTTTAATACAATTACACCATTTTTCTCTTCTAAGAACCATCTCATAATTTGAAGAATGACATAGCTGAGAAAGATATTTAGTAAGACATTTTTAGGCATTGCTGAATTTGAATCATCTTCCAAATACTATATTCTGCCCCTTTCTTTATTGTAATAGTTTATCTGAAAGTACACAAAACTTAATAAATTGCTTTTACTATGCAATTCTGAAATATCAAGTCTGCCTCCAGTAAAAAAAAAAAGTAACTACTTTTATAACATTAAGGCCAAGTCATTTGTAAAGATAATATCAACTGAGACTTTTTGGCACTTACGACTAATCCATTATAAACAACTGTCAATCTTAAAAACACAGTTCCAGTAAACATGTAGTTACACTGGGTACAGATAAGAAAATACAAGGCCTGCATGGTATCTCATGCCTGTAATTCCAGAACTTTGGGAGGCAGAGGCAGGTGAATCATATGAGGCCAGGAGTTCAAGACCAGCCTGACCAACACAGCAAAACTCCGTCTCTACTAAAATTACCCAAAAAAAAAAAAAAAAAAAAAAAAAAAAAAAAAATTAGTTGGGCGTGGTGGCGTTCGCCCGTAATCCCAGCTACTCAGGAGGCTGAGGCATGAGAATCACTTGAACCCAGGAGCAGTGGTTGCAGTGAGCCAAGATCGTGCTACTGCACCCTAGCCTGGGTGACAGAGCAAGTGAGGCTCTGTCTCAAAAAAAAAAAAAAAAATTAAGTACAAGACGCTCACTGGCCATGCTAAACCAAATGAATGAAAAGCGCCCAAAGTGATTTTATGCCGAGGGTCCATCCATACAAATAAATAAACAAAATCTTATCCTCTTCTTTCTATATTTTCTTACATTTCTTATACAAATAACAGAATGCTTCATTGTATTCACTTCAACAGGACAAAATCCTTAAAGAAAGACTGAAAAGAGCTGATAATCAAAATCTCAAATTTTATGTTTATTTTTGTTTTAGTGCTATCAATTTTCTGAGGTATTAACACAGGCAGGAAAACATTCTCAGTAAATTGAGCATCTGAGTCTACAAATGTCTTGAAGCACTCTGGCAAGTTACATGTATCCCATGTTGCTTTTGGTTTCCCATCTCTTCTTTGCTTCAAATCTAAAATGGAGAACATAAAAATCTCAATTTATTTCTTAAAATAAAAAAATACTTCGCTGAACACGTTTAGAGACCAAAGCAAAACAAACAAAAATTTTTCACATACTCCAATGATTACAAAATAAACATTAAACAGGATGAAGAAACACCTCCATATTTATAATCTGATAAACATTCAACAAAGAAAAAAAGTGAGTAACAGTTACACATGAACTAGATCACAAAATATATTAGCAGAATTTCTACAATTTCTATGAAGTCAGAAGAATTACTACTAAAAATCTTAAGTAAACTCACCCCCATGCGAGTTTCTTCTTTTTTCGGGCAGCCTGTGAATTTTCAACCTCTTTTTTGGCTTTTACAAAGTTGTGGCAGGCAACTGCTTTGGCAATTTTTACACCAAGCTAAGAATTACAAAGGAGGAAAAAAAAAGGTGAAAATAAATATTCCAGCTAATACAGGAATCACATTTATACAAATAATTGAGAACTTATGGGTAAGAAAGCCATGTCTAGAAATTAGAAATTCTACGTTCAGTCCCTCTCAAAGTATAATGAATACAAAGATAGGACCCGTATCTCCTGTGACTCCCAATAGACCCTTTACCCTAGTTATACCAGTCTCCTGGATGGAAATCCTTCTCAAACTGAGGCCCCTCGAGGGTCCACAAAGGTAGTAATGAGGATCTTCAAGCTATTTCAGCATTGCAGTAGGCTGAACAGGAATTTACCCCTGATAAGGCTGCAGACACTGACAGAGACATCAAGTTTCTTTGCTCTGGGCTAGAATTACAGCAACTCAGTATGGTCACACCAGTTATCTCATGCTGATCAGAAGCTCTGATTGGCAGTCACAGATGTGATTAATAAAACATGGGAAAGCTAATTACTACTTCATAAATGCACTCTGTATGATGGGCAACAGCTTTTAATTCACTGAGAGAAAAAAGAATATCAGGGGTACTAAGGTGAAAAGGCTGGGCACCAGGACCACAGTATTAAAGTGTCCCCTGTGCAGGGCCCTCTATGTGTGCCCCCCTTACACCCATCTGCCAGTCCTACAAGGTCCATTCACAGTGAAATCCCCCATCCCAGAAGTCTTCTTTAACTCAACCTAAAACAGTCCTTGTTTCTCCAGCCCTTCAACTTTCAGTTACACACTCTGCTCTACACAGCGCTCTGGCTGCAGAGCTGTTCCCCAGCAAGTCTCTCCAGGATAAGCACTGTGACGATATCTTCTACTTTTAGTGTGCTCTTATTTTTAAAATGCCCACCAATGTGGACAGCTCAAGAGTACCCATTAAGAACCCAGGTTAAACAATAAAAACTAAGTACCTCTTTGGTGCTTCTTGCCTTTTCTATCCCTTGTACTCAACTGATGCACATTAGTAGACAGGCAGACTTGCAAAAAAGAAGAAATGACATAGAAGCCACTCTAAAGTCAACAGGTTAAAGCCTAAGTTCTAGGAATCTGCTTGCCAATAGTAAGGCATGGCAGGAGGTTGAGCACATGTGTAAGCAAAGAAGCAAACTTAGGAGAGCAAGGTTTGGCACGCTTGACATGTCTTTCAGCTTAATCTTGGAGAACAGTCTCCTTTAGATGAAATCGACAAGTAGTAATCAAGCACTGTCTGTAGTTTATAAATGAGGGCAAAAACAGATTTGATTTTTCAGTACAGTTAAGAACATATATATAAAGAACTTAAACAAATGGAAGGAAGCTGACAATTGAACTACAGTGCCAAATTGGTCAACATCAACAGGAAAGGTGCCGAAGAAAGGATGAGTCATTGTAAAGCAGACTGACCTCAGTGTCTTCCCAAAACTCAAATCCATATTTAGCAGTGCTACTGTTGTCTTCCTCTTTTTCAAAGGAATAACATTCATTCAACAAATTTTACAAAGGCACAAATGCATAATTTTGCCAGGCACTGTTCTAGGTGCTGGAGATACAGCATTGAGCAAAATGGGTTGTTTTCAAACTGTGGGGCTGGGGAGGAGTTGGCAGTTACATTTGACTGCTTTAGTACTGGCTTTGTTCTTTTGGTTCTCTTTTCGTTTCCAGTTCTTTATTGTAGAAAAGTCCACGTAAGTCAACAAATAAAAAAAGGCTAAGAATCAAAAGCCTGTATCATCATCATCCCAGGAGAAAATGAAACTCTGGAAGGAGGCTGTGGCATAATTTATCATTAAGATGAAATTCCTATCCACTGAAAAACTATCCATTTGTCATACATGTAAAAAAAAAAAAAAAAATCAAGTTAACACCTGTCAACTAGTTAGGCTAGTCAACCTTGCAGTATCCAACAAATACCCAAATCTCACTAGCTTTTATTTCTTGTCTCGCTTTAAGTCCCTGTGGATGGGCAGGACTCTCCTCTAACTTGTGATGCCAACATCTCAACATATGGCTTTCAGGATTATCATGGCGGAACAAGAGCTGGAGGGCCTCACAATGGCTCTTCGATGCTTTAGTTCAGTAGTGACACAAATCATTTCTGCTCAGAGCCCACTGGTCAGAACTACTCACATGGCTCCAACTAAATACAAGGGGGCTGGGAAATGTGGAGGTACAGCAGGCTCTGAAGGGAGCAGTAAATATACCTAATAAACTATCTTCTGCTGTAAATCATAGCTGGCTACTTGTGTTTAAGATGCATATAGGTCTCTCAACATTCAAGTGGACAATTCAGTGTCTTTCCTGTTCCCCATCGCCAAAAGGTAAAACAGAAAAATCTATATTTTTTCCATTAACTCCATTCCTATCAAATGCAAATTCAGTTTTGCTAAAACCACCCACCAAAAATGGCCCACTCAGCTAGCTTCTCTTATATTTCAACTGAGACTATACTGTAAGAAACAAAAATTATCTGAGCCATATTTGCCATGTACCACATTAACAATGTGAGAAAATTATTTTTTAAAACTGTTGTCAATTAAGACATGGCTTACATTTTTCTCACTGGAATTTCCCAACATGGTTGTCCTGGTTAGGACAGCCAAACCAAGCCAAAGAGCAGATCCCTATGTCTGGGCATGCAGTCATTTGACTTCAATAGACTCTTCCCCTCGACATGTCATGTACTCTAAGACTGTAAAAGCTTTTAGTGCTCTAGCAAAGCTAAGGCCAAATCCAGCACAACCAGCATCACGGTAAATACTTACAGCATATGTTCCTTAATACAGTATATGCTTGTTAAAAATAATTCATTAGAACGTATTAAACAGCCATTCACATGAGAGGGCTCTATCATTTTGTAAACTTAATAAACGACTAGGTACATAGGCAACACTTTCAAACAGACCTGATCCTATAAAAGGTGTATTTTCTAACTGTATTTTACCTTGGCTTAGGTTAAACTATTCTTCAGCTGATAAAACACTAAACAAACCTGGTCTATGTATTCTCCACAGAAAGACATCTTATAGCTTGTAATGATGATGAAAACTCATAGCCTTTTTGTGTCCTTCATATAATTAAGATGAATGTGTCTCACTTATTTCTCTGGAGAAAGAAAAAATATCTGAAAATATAAAAGGATAATAAGACCTTCTATGAAACAGGCAGTTGAGAAGAAATGGTTTCCCAGTCGAGATGACTAACCTGGGTTCCAGAATATAAAAGAATATCATGCTGTGTTGCAGTATTATAAACAAATAAAATAGGCCGAAAAGAATCCCTCTTTCAGTTCTATAAAAAGAAAAATGCATCTTCATGCTCAATGTAAACATCACAAAACCTTGGTCAATGGTTTTATATTTAAAAAATGGTTTTGGGTCATCAGATAACTATAGCAACACAATGTGGAAAGAAATTTCTTTAAATGAATAAAAATATATACAAAATTTCTTGTATGTGTAGCCAAAGTATCAGCATTTTCCATATAGAACATCCAATATTTTGCTGCATTTTAATTAAGGTGTCTAAACATTATCACAAAGAACTGCAAATTGGTCAGAGCATGCAGTAAGGAAAATTAAGCTCTAAAGGCTTTTTATCACCATATTTCAGGAACCAAGGGTGTAAAATGTTCTAATTTGGGATATATTAAAAGCCATAAAAGGTCTTTCAAAAAGATTAATGGTACTTTGCTTGGATTTAAGATAAGGGCTTTAGCTGGTTGGAAAAGCAGGGCCCTGGCTGGACCCTTGAGGCATTCATCTTTACAGCCACTTGGAAGATTTGTAAAAGCGTCTGCATAACCTCAAGCAAATGCACGGCGACATTTTTTTAAATTCCTTTCAATTTTACAGGTTTAGCGTGTGTAAATCATATTGGGTTGTAAAATAGATATAATGGCACATCCTTGTAACATAGTACAGATTTTTAAAAGACAAACTTCAAATTAAGTTAGTTTTTCTTGCAAAATCTTGTCATTATAAAGTTTGCTGATAATCATTTGAAGCATCTGATTCAAACCGCTTAATCTAGCATAACTGTAAATTTCTTATCCGTTTCAGAATATATTTTACTCATCTCAAAATTACTAGCTTGTAACAGATTTTTAAAGTTTTCCTCCCTTTTGAACACTTTCAAGGCACTTATTTAAAAATACCAATTATCATACTTTAACTTTTTATGGAATAATAGGTCTCTATGAAAAATATTTATGCCATTCTCTTTTGTTCTTTAATTAAATGAAAACAGATGTTTTCTGAAGTAAAGCGGAACCATTACTGGAGTACTTAAAGTGTTAAGGTCTTTAATTTTTATATCAGTTTGGTCGACAATTCTTGATTGTCTTTACTCAAGCTCAACATTAATGTCAAGCAAGTTACCTAGGAGACGAAAGAGATCAAAGAGACAAAAACCCCTCCAATGTCTGATTAATCAAGCCTGCAAACAGCTTATTTCTTTTAGCCTGCATGCAAGTATGAAAATGAGATTCTGGGAGCCGAACATTGTGCAGATTTGTTCATTCTTATCAGAACAAAGCCAGCGGCAGCTTATTTCATGGATCATTGGCACTGTCATCAGTGCTACACAGAACGGGTGACAGCTCCTCATTTTGAGGCTTGAACAAAATTAGCAAAAAGTCGGCACAAATTAGCCTCTCATCTTTTTAGTAATATGACATTATTCATTTACTTTTTATCCAATTTTTAATTTTTTCCTTGTCAGCTATCCCTTTCTAGTGTCTCTTGCATAGCATCATAAAATGCCTTCCAAAAAACAAGCAAAGAAATAGCCAAAGTTGAAATAACGTACAAAGTTCAAGAAGCAAATAAGAAAAAGCACTTTCAATGACTGGTAATACTGTGTTTTTAAAAAATAACTTTCGAAACGCTGCACTAAGATTGATTTTTAAAAAACAGCTCAGAATGCCATGCAGTGAAGGAATTTTAAGAAACTGGTGGTATATTTCAACAAAGAATACAATGTGACCAATGTGTTTCACTCAAAC